ACTCTATAGATCAAGCCGACTGGAACTGATAGGGTAGCTCCAAATATCAGCCCCTTATAAAAAGGATCTTCAGAAAGTTCATGGCTATTAAACTAAAGGAGGTGTGATATGATGCTGGTTTCTAGCAGGTACAGACCAAACCTTGGTTAAGCTTTCTGTAGTGTACAGGAAGAACTTTTCTGTCCCTCAACCAATGTCAGTAATGTTACAGTTGAGAAACCTTGCACTGGCTCCTAGACTTTGCTCTGTAGAAAGAGATGAAGGAGCATCTTCAAAACCGTACTTTCCTACATTCATAGCTACGTTGAGATGCAGAAAGTTTATGTACCATACAGTTAGGTGACTACTCCTTTATCTCCCAAATGCTTCCCAAGGAGATTTATTGACCAGATTTTCACTTTTCATTTCCCCATAACAAAACACTTGAAACTCTTTTTAGAGAGTAGTTTGAAATTTGAGTCACTCTGTTCTTGATATGTTGATTGGTTTGTTTGTAGGCTCATCCTAACATGATGTAAATACTTGGAAGTATCCATGGAAATCAGTGTGGAGAGTGTGCTAAGACAACTGAAAATATGTTGTCTCTGATAAAAACAACCATCTTGCAGAATACAAGATAAATGCATCAAAAGATAAACCCCCCCACACATATATTTTTATCTTTCTATCTATCTATCTATCTATCTATCTATCTATCTATCTATCCATCCATAGTGGTTGTAATAGCCTACACTCCCACCAGCAGTGAAGGTGAAGGAAGGTACCTTTCTCCCCACATCCATGCCAGCAGGTGTTGTTAGCAGAGTTCTAAATGTAGGCCATTCTCACCGGAATTAGGTGGAACCTCAACGTGGCTTTTATTTGCATTTCCCCGACAGCTAAGGAGCCTGAACTTTTTTTTTTCTTTTTTTTAACTGGAAAAGCAGATGTATAGAGAGGAGGAGAGACAGAGAGGAAGATCTCCATCCGATGATTCACTCAAGTGGCTGTAACAGCTGATGCTGTACCAATCCAAAGCCAGGAGCCAGGAACTTCTTTCGGGTCTCCTATGTGGGTGCAGGGTCCCAAGGCTCTGGACTGTCCTCAAATGCTTTCCCAGGTCACAAGCAGGGAGCTGGTTGGGAAGTAAAGCTGCCGGGATTAGAACTGGTGCCCGTATGGGATCCCAGCGCGTTCAAGGTGAGGACCTTAACTGCCACGCTATCGTGCTGGCCCAGAGCCTGAACATTTTTTCATATGTTCATTAACCATTTGAATTTGTTTTTTTTTTTAAATGTCCATTTCCTTCACTCATTTCTTCACAAGGTTATCTGTTTTTGCTGTCCATGCATTTCTGAAGCTCTTTGTAAATCCTGGATATTAGTCCCCTATTGGTTGTGTATTATGCAAAGATTTTCTCCCATTCTGTTGGTTGCTTCTTCACTTTGCACTACAGAAGCTTTTTAGTTTGATACTTTAGTTTGATACATTTGTTTATTTTGGCTTTGATTGCCTGTGCTTTTGGTGTCTTTTCCAAGAAGTCTTTCCCCATTCCTGTATTTTGGAGAGTGCTTCCTCTGTTTTCCTTTAATAGTTTAATGGTATCTGGGTGTAGATTTAGGTCCTTGATCTATTTAGGGCTGATTTTGTATAAGGTGACAGGTGGGGGTCTTGCTTCTTTCTTCTTCTGCAGGCTGCTATCCAATTGTCTCAGCAGTATTTGTTGACGAGACCAGGCCTCTTCTGTGGATTGTTTTTAGTTCTGCTGTCAAAGATTAATTGCCTGAACGTGTGTGGGCTTACTTCTGAGGTTTCTATTTTGTTCCATTGATCTTCTCTGTTTATGACCATTGCCCTGTGGTATGTCTTGAGGGCAAGAATTGTGATTCCTCCAGCTTGATTTTTATTCTTTAGGATAGCTTTGGCTATTCATGGTCACTTGTGTTTTTAGATGAGCTTTTGTATCATCTTTTCTATTTCTGAGGAGAATATTGTGGGATTGTATTGAATCTGTATATTACTTTTGGTAATATAGACATTTTGATGATATTGATCCTGCTGACCCAGGAACATGGTAGGTTTCTCAATCTTTTAATATCTTCTTCTATTTCTTTTTCTTAATATTTTGTAATTTTTATTACAGAGGTCTTTCATATCATTTGTAGGTGAAGTTATTTTAAATTCTTCTCCACTACTTTAAAGGAAATTATACTTACAGGTTTTTTTCTCAGCCATGAAGTTATTTGTGTATACTAGTACCATCAATTTACATTCATTCAACAGGGTCCAAAAGTACATCAGGCAAATTATTCATCCAGACCAAATTTGCTTCACCATGTCAACAAATTCAAAAATAAAAATCCGTATGATCATCTCAATCAATGCAGAGAAAGCATTTAATAAAATCCAAAACCACTTCATGCTAAAAAATCTCAAGCAAGATAGGCACAGAAGGAACATTTCTATAAGGTAACCAACACACACGCGCGCACACTCACACACTCTCTCTCTCACACACATACACACACACACACACACACACACATGCAATGCCAGCATCATACTGAATGGGGAGAGATTGGAGGCTTTTCTACTAAGAGCTGAAACTAGACATGGATGTCCACTTTCACCACCGCTATTCAATGTAGTATTGGAAGCTAGAGCTATTAGGCAAAAAAATGAACAATTAAAGGAATTGGAACTAAGGAATCAAAATTATCCCTGTTTAATTCTGTTAAGTTAAATGCCAGAACCACCTGGAGAGTGCATAATTCGAAAGTGGGAGTGGCATAGGAGGGAGATAGTGGGCACCTCCCTTGTGGATTACCACTCCCACTGGAGGGCACAAAAGCCAGGACAGGGGCAGGGATGCCTAGACAGAAAGGCATCTGCCAGTGTGTGGGAGGGCTAGATAGTAGGGTTGGTTGGGTTGAACTAGGCTTCAATGCCCATTGACATGCATGAGAGCTAAATGAGATTTGGGACAGACTAAACAAGTCTGCAGTACATACTGGCATGCATGGGAACCAGCGTAGGGAACAGGCCTGGTAGGGTTATGGGGAGTCATTCCAACAAGGCTGCAGCTCCCAATGGTTTGTGTGAGGACCGAGTATGAAGTGGGCAGGATCAGGCTGGACTATAACACCTATTGGTTCAAGTGGAAGACAGGGCTGGAAACAGAACTGACCCAGCAAGTGCAACAACCAGCATGAACATAAACTGATTGGGGCGACAGGTGATTCCGGACCTTATACTGGCAAACTCACACAGGTTTAGGTTTAGGATCATCTCAGATGAAGTTTCTTTGGAGATCCCTCCTTCTGAACTGCTGATCTCAGAATCCCAGCCATGAAGAGACTATGTCAGCCAGTGGATTCTGAGTAGGTCTCATTGTGATTGGAACAGCAAGATTGGCAGTAATTCAGACCTGTTAAACTATCAAAACTGCTTGAGCAGGACCCTTGTAGCATGCCTCACATCGGGGACCTGGGATGGGTGGGAGGCTGGGTGGGGCTTTTCCATTTGTTTCTCCTCTGACCCCAGATACAGGGGGAAAAAATGGTATTAGTGTGGAAACAATGGTCTTACCCACTTTCCTGTAGCCCTTGACCCTTTGTACCCTATAGCCCTTGACCCTTTGTACTCTAATCAACTAAGTAAGATTATTTTTTTAAAAATTAATTAATTTTTAAAGATTATCCCTGTTTGCAGGTTACATGATTCTCTACATAGGAGAACCAAAAGATTCAGTCAGGAGAGTATTGATCTCATTTTCAAAGAAGTCTGACAATAACAGTACTAATCCACTCTAGAGAACAGAGCCTTATTGACCTAATCATCTCTCTTTAAGATCCATCTCTCAGCGCTGTGTTTGGAGATTAAGTTTCCAGACAATGGTTTTGCGGGGACAAATATCTTCTTATTCTATTTCTCTAAAATGACCTGATAGGTAATTGTATCATCCTGATGTTTAGACATATCAGAAACAGTGACCAAGGGATATATTTTTAAAAAGCATAAACTTAAAGGTAAGTATAGGCATGATAACCTGGTGGCTAAAGTCCTCACCTTGAGGTGCCAGGATCCCATATGGGCACTGGTTCTGATCCCAGCAGCCCTACTTCCCATCCAGCTTCCTGCTTGTGGCCTGGGAAAGCAGTCAAGGACAGCCCAAAGCCTTGGGACCCGGCACCCATGTGGGAGACCCGAAAGAATTTCCTGGCTCCTGGCATGAGATTGGCTGAGCTCCGACCATTGCTGCTGCTTGGGGAGTGAACTGTCAAATGAAGATCTTCCTCTCTAGCTCTCCTCCTCACTGTATATGTGACTTTCCAATGAAAATAAATTCTTAAAAAAATAATATCCTGAAAATAAAGCATGTAGCTTAATAATCAAAGGGGTTTCTTGGTTTTATGTGTCTTAATTCATGTCATTAAAGTTTCAGGATTGCATTTTTTTCTAAATATTTTCAAAAGCAGTCTAGCTGGTTTGAACAAAGTCAAAGCAAATGGAGGAGATTGCCTTATTTTTATATTGTGATTCCTTGTAATCTAATTTTAGTTACAAATTTTGCCATTCCTTGGGTTACATTGACTATTGCTTTTGCATGGGTGGTGAATTGTGACCTGGGAAGACAGGAATTTTAATGTCAAAGATGATCACGCTATAAGGGTAAATCTTTGAACAAACGCCTTAGCATCCTGCCTGACATTATCACCGGAATATGTGGTATATAGGTAGTTACAAAAACAGTTTTATGGAAAAAAAAAACAAGGAAATGCTTTACTACACTGTTAGTATACTTCATCACCCTCCTTGCTTCCCATAAAGCATCTTAAATATCACAGGCATTTCAAACTTTTCTTTAGTTTTTGTATTGTAAAGTGGATAAAACAGTAACTAATGTACCAGACTTGCACTTGCTGCTGTATTGAGTCACAGAAATGATGAAGCTTTGTGAATAACTCTTGCTTAAAAGATTGAAGAATGTATAATTAGGTGTTTATTCTCTTTTTTTGCAGCCAAGGACCCTTATCATCCATTAGAGCAGTCATCAAGAGATGTAAGTTTGTTTTCTCTTTTCTTTTCTCTCCTCTGTACTAATTTCAAATAATAGTTTAGGTTTTCAGCAAGTGATTGTGTTTGATGAGTCTGAAAAGACCCTAACAAGAGTTCCTTCTCCTAAGAATAAATGATTTCAGACAAGCAACTTTCAATTATTGATTAACTAGTTTCTCAGAATAATGCTTTTCTCTTTAAAAATGTTTAAATTTATTTTTATTTTAAAGGCAGAATTATAGTGGAAGAGAGAGTGTGACAAAGTATAGGAGAGGGAGAGGAATCAATCAATCAATCTTGCATCCTATGATTCATTTCTCAAGCAAACACGAGACTCAGGCCTAGTCCAGTTGCATTAGCAGGGAGTTAAAGTGGAAACAGTATCTAGAACACTAACTGGCACTGCACTGTAGGATGTTGGTGTGGCAAGCAGCAGCTCAACCTGCTGGCCCTAATGCTCATCTCTTACATGAAAAAATCATTTAAAAAATAATGTAGTACTCTAGTTTCTATGATTGCAAATAACTTTATGTAGCTATTTCTACATTTATACACATCATAATAGTTTAGAAACTATTAGACTGTGTCCTTTGTGGTTCATTTGCTTTCACAGGTTCTTTTGGTTTAACTGTGTAAATGCCAGTGAAGTTGGGCTGATATTTCTAAATGCAGTGCAGAACTGATTGATATTAATAGAATTTCCTGAAAAATGGCATATTTATTCTTTGTGTTTTAGCTCTTGGTTAAAGTTTTAAAATTTTTTCCTGGTGTTAGATTTTAAACACTATTTCAGTAGAAGACTGTGGAAGTTCCCTTGTGTGGATAGAGCATAGGTTTTTCTATTATAAAGATAAAGGTAGGATTTTAGAGGGGCTTTGCATTATTTGAGCTGAAATCACCACTCTAAGCAGCCTCATTTTAGAAACATAGTTATGATATTTAATATGAATTTGTGATACCCATATATCATGAGGAACGTATGCTAGAATGATTCTAAAGAAAATTCTCTAAGGTGGCAATAGAAGAAAATGCCATGCTTCACCACTTCATTTCTTTTCTTAGTGAATTATATAAACTCAGAAAACATTATATAATTTGTTAATGAATTATAAAGATGTGGGAATTCAGATGTAAAAATGAAAAATTCATGATAGTTTCATATGCCTTAGAACTCTTGGTGTAGAGTAGGAGAATGAAGAAGCAGAGAAATAATTTAAACAGGAAATTAGAATCTAGAATTCAGTCAGGAATTTTTGGGCTAGAGATAGAACTGCATGATCAAGATTGGAGGCAAAAAGCCTGGGGAAAAAAAGATAAAAGTTTAGGGAGGAAAGTGGACGAAGCCAGGGCAGAATCTTGAGAAATAGTATCTCAGGCCAAGCTGTGTGTTCCCGGGCCCCATCCTGTGGAGTGGCCGGCCTTCCTTTCACAGAATCCTTGTCTGCTGGAGCCTACCTTTGATCACTGGCTTCTTGCCTTAGCTTCCCTGGGATTCTAGATTTTTGTCTACCTTACTTCCCACAGGTCCTGAGGGTGGATTTTCTCGCCCTGAGGCAGCTCTGTGACACCAGGCTTCAGGAGAAGGCAGCTAAGGAGGAGCAGGCAAAAAACTGCTGGGAGGAACTGGGCCAAGTAATAGGAAAACCAGGAGACAGTTGCACAGCAAAGGCCACAGGGGAAGAAGGCTTTGAAAGGAATGGGTGAACCACAAAAACAGTGGCTGACAACCGATGTGTGACTCAGTAGAGACCTGTGGCAGAACAGTTTCAGAACATTGAAGTTGTAAGCCACACTTCAACCTACACAGTAAATGGAATACTTTGAGGTAGGAACTGTTGGGGTAGAACATTCTTTTATGAAGTTGGGTGATAAACAAAAAAAGGGACTAACAAAGACTAGAGAGAGAAGAAGAAATTTGTATAACAGAGACCTAGCATAAATATGGGGAAGAAGATATGAAAGAAAAATATTTGCTTTACAGTGACAGTTGTTTTTGTTTTTTTTACCTTCCCAGTTATCTTTTAATTCTTTCATGTCCATCACTTTGTAAACACTGAAGAAATATTTCTTTGTATTTATTTCTTAGGCTAGTCCAGGAGGCCCAACAGATCCTCTTGTAATACTGATTAAATGCAGAATAATAATATTATGTTACCTTTTCTTTTTCTCTACTCTTTAAGAAAAAGTTGCACATAATTTTCATCTTAGTGATCCCATTCAAATGTATACTCACTATCACAGACTTGATCATCTGACTTATCAAGGAAAAAGAGTTTAATCACATTTGTAAAATTACATTTTTAATTGATTACAAATCAGATTCTGCCCTAAAAACTAGTACCAGATGACCCATTGTATCCTTCTTTGTACCTTCATTCTTATGAGTTCTGAGTATTCTTGATGAAATTTTTGATCTGTCCAAATTGGCTATACCTAAAATTTTATGGTCTTCTTTTATTATCTTTTTAAGAGAAAAATATTCTTAGAAACTTAGATTTAATTAACATTGATTAGAATGTAGGTGAAACAGCTCTTGACTTAACTCTAAAGTAGTGATATGTATGGTGGGTTTAACCCTTTTGCAGAGAGCAGGGAAACTAGATCTGTTATGTTTTAAACACAAAGTTCTTAGAGTTCTTATGCGCAGCCAATTTCCACAGCCAAGTCCTCTTTTACTTTAAGCCAAACAGAGGCGATGAGATATTAGGAGGTCCTTATATTCCAACAATGTAGGAACAGGAATGGGGGTTAGGTGCAGGGGGAACAGGAAAGGAAACATCTCCTGCCATGGTGGCAGGATGGGGTTGGCCAGGGCAGGGGAAGGCAGCAAGATGAAGGAGGACCAGGGAGAGCCAGGTAAGAAGGGAAGGGAAGAGAAAGAGGGAAAGAGAAAGGAGGGGCTGAAGCTATCTGAGCCACAGGGAGGTGGGTGAGAACTGGGGGGAGGGGCCACCAGAGAATGAGGGGTGGATTCTCAGGTAAGGTGCCAGGAGGTTACATCTGATTGGTGGATAACCAGAACAGCGGGAATTTCCCAAGCAGTGGGAAGGGGAAGCAGGAAGCTGCGCCAGGTCCAAGATGGGATGTTGGAATCACTTCTCATACGAACCCTGAGAGGTTAAATGGCTTCATCCAAGTTTGAGCTGATATGTGAGCCTGGGTTTCCTGACTCCAGGGTCACTGAGCTTTCCATTCTAAAAAAGGTCTTGTTACCTTATCAAATATGTTTAGCTTATTCCCTGTCCTAAACAAGTATAGACATTGTGATTATTATTATGTGCTTCTGTAGCAAAGCTGTTTACAGTATCATTATTCTATTATGTTTTTATTATCATTTAATGATTCTCCTGGTCATATCTTCATCACTTCCATCTACTCTGAGAAAGTAAGACTGCGATGTGTAAGTAGACAGTTGAAAAGTTAGCAGGAAAAATGAAAAACCCAATGTAAACGTCCAACGTACTTGAGGCCATTAAAATTACTCAGTGTTCATGTTAGTTGTGCTGCCCACCAGGGAAAAAATAATACAGCCGAATATATAAAAAGAATTTAGATGGCCTTTATTTCAGGGAACCACAGTCATGGGCTTCCCTTCTCTATGCAACAGACAGACGTAAAGGAGAGGGCTACAGAGGAAGAAGAGTCAGGAGGAGATGTGCAGGAGCCTTTTAAGCTCCCCTTTATGCAGAAACCGAAACGGGGGTTGCCCTGGCCCTTATTTGGTGTGGGGGGGGAGGGTGGATAAACGTTTGTTCCCCTCTTTAGTACACTGTGGTTTCACAGCCTGAGGGGCCCACCGGGATTCCACCCTCCTTCTGGGTTGGGTTGGAAGCAAACTCCACCCTCCTCCAGTTACCGTGGTAACCATCAGTTCACAAGAATTATCTGTCACTATGTAAGGATCAAGATAGAAAAGAGAGGTTTCATGATGATGAATGAAGGTGGAAAAAGAGAAAAAAAAAAAAAGCAGGAGAGGAGAAAGTAGTGATTATCAAAGGATGTGGAGAAAGAGATCTACCACACCAAGTGGTTCTGCTTCCCAGAGCACCTATTAGCAGTGACTTAAGGGGTGAAGGGGCAGAATCAAGTTAAAAACCACTGAAATGGGGCCAGAGCAATGGCTCAATGGCTAAATCATCACCCTGCAAGTGCTGGGATCCCATATGGGTGCCAGTTCATGTCCTGGCTACTCCACTTTCCACTCAGCTCCCTGCTTGTGGCCTAAAAAAGCAGCAGAGGATGGCCCAATGCCTTGGGACCCTGCACCCACATGGGAGACCTGGAAGAAGTTCCTGGCTCTTGGCTTTAGATCAGCTCAGCTCTGGCCTTTGCAGCCATTTGATGAGTAAATCAGCAGAGGGAAGATCTTACTCTGTCCATCTTTTTGTAAATTTGATCTGCCTTTCCAATAAAAATAAATAAATCTTCATTTTTAAAAAGGCAACGAGTTAAAAGAATGAAAATCAAGTACTGAGTTACATTTCAAATATTACTTTTGCTTCAAAATTGATTCCTATTGAAGTAGCAAATTGATTTTCCAAAATGGTTTTAGTTTTTGTTTTGGGGAGTTTTGGGGGCAATGTTTTTGATGTGACTGTGTGTGGATGTCCTGGCATTCACAGACAGTTTGGGCAGCAACCTATTTCTCTACTCTCTGAGACTGTGGTTCATCAATGTCTCTTTTCTGTGTAAGTGTGCACAGTAAGGGAGAACAATGACATGGCAAGACAAGCTTGCTTCTGAATTCTTCTTAGTGCATATGCAACTGGGCTCAATCCTTTTTCTCCCTTTCCTCTTCTGTAACCCCTTCTTTTTTTCCCTTAGCACTCATGAATAGTGCACAGCAAAAATGCCCCGTGGAAGAGGTATGTTTGTGACAATAATACCATGAAATCTCTTTAAAATGCTATATCTGCTGATTTCCAGCTTCAGTGGTGATGTGATTATAGCACACTTGGGCAAGCTTCCGACTTGATGAAACCATTCTTACCAATCAGACACACCATGGGGTAGCTCTAACCGCTCTGACCTCCTTTCTTCCAGTACACAAAATATATCAGCTTGGTTGAGCTCTTCATAAAAATGTAACAGGTAGTCAAACCAGTTCACGATGGGAACATAATGACATCTTCCAAGTCAGGACCTATGGGTTTGGGTTTGGCTGATAGATGTTTGCTTCGCCAACCCAGCCTAGGTTGAGCAATGATCACAGCTCTGATCCCATCCTAAATTCCCACCTCCCCCGCTCCCTCTCCCAGCTTTGACAGTTTCCTTGTTAAGAGAGCACAAGTTAATGGAGAAAAGGCCCATGCTTCCCATCTTTTTAAATCAGAAGCTTTGGAAAAATAGAGTATTGGAGAAAAAATGAAAGAAACTGATTGAAATAGTTTTTTGTGAAACAAGTTCCTCTTGTGCACAAAATTTTTACAGTATCTAAAGATTCCCCACCACTTCCACACCATCCCCACTCCAGGCTTTTTAGAATATAAAGACAATGTTCTATATCGTATAAAAATTGAAACCTAAAAAGTTTTCAATTTGAGATTTGAGAGAAACATCAGTGCCTTTTTATGCAATACCATCTACTTATAAAAATGCTTATAAAATGGTTTGAACACCTTTTACATTTAATATTTCTATCTTTAATAAAACAAATGTAAAGTTGCAGAAAAGTTAGAAAATGGTTGAAAACATCTAGTTTTTTTTTTTTTTTACAAACTTCGCAAACCTATATTCATATAGAGGAAACTAGATATTTATAAGTTTTTTTATACCATGGCATCATGTTATGCCCCTATCATGCAGTTTATATTTTAATAAATATCTTCTCTCTATTTGTTCTTCAGATTATTTTCAGAATAACATAATGCTGTTTGGGGAGTTTTTGAAATCTGTATTTTTATCTGATTCTAAGATGATTATAATTAAGCTAATGAAATATAAAAAGATCATGATGGTTTCTTTACTTAGGGATGTTAAATTCATGTGTCTTATATGATGTCATGTATAAGCTTTTCCCATTGTATGCTCTATAAAATGTAAACCTTTATTGCCAGTTTCATCCTATATTAGTTTATTCTTTCTTTTGTAGCTTCTCGGACTTCTATTCATGGTGAACTTCATCGAGACAGAAGGTATTGTTATATATTTAACAGTATGCATATATTCTGCTAGCACTATAATTAAAATCTGCCCTAATTGACAAGTTAAATATTTTTATTAGTTAATGATGTATTACTGTGTTTGCTGCACCTATTCATCTCTTGGATTAATCTCTAAATTTGAGTGACTGATTTTGAATAAGAGAAGTAACACAGTCCTGGAAATATTATTCTGATTTTAATTATTTATTGAAGCCACTTAATATATTTTTTAAAGACTTATTTAAAAAACAGAGTGACCGAAAGAGAGAAAGAGACAGCGAAAGAGAGGAATCTTCCATCCTCTGGTTTACTTCCAAATACCTGGCAACAACTGATGTCAGACAGGGGCAGAGCCAGGAAACTAAGTAAATATCTACATAAACAAAGGAGCAAGTCGTTTGATGAGAGAGGAAGAAATACCTGTGGACAGATGGAAGAGGGAACAGAACGGATATATAAGTAGAAGCATGAAAGAGTAGATAGGTGGATAAATAATTGAATGGAATTTTCTAAGACATGGCAACTGCTCTCAGATGTCTAGCTATGTAATATAGGGCAATGAAGAATAAGAACTTTAGAGTCATATGTGAATTCACTTCCTCACTTCATTACTTTCTCCAATAACCTTGAGCGAACTATTAAATGGTGTCAATCATACTAGATCACAAGGTGTCATAAGCGTAAGTGCATATATCATGTTTAACATTTAGTAACCAGTAAATAACTCGTATATTTAGTCAGACAAAAGCTGTATGCAAACAGTTTTGGAGGGGTTGCAATTAAAATTCAATCAACGATCAGGTTCTTTTTAACAAGCTGCATGAGAATTGTGTATATGAACAGTTTTGATAATAAAACCTTTAAAAATTTGTTTTCCGTAGAATGGTGTTTGTTAGGTGAGAAAACTGAGTCTGAGAAGTTGATTTCTCCAGGGTCACACATTCAGTTTTTGAAAATCAGAGTGAAGTTGACAAGGATGAGTGGTAGCATTTGGCGCAGTGATTAAAGGTGCCCCCTGAAAAGCCCACATGTCGTGGCAGAGTCCCTGGGTGTGAGTCTCAGCTCTGCTTCTGATTCCAGCTTTTGCTCATTTGCACCCAGAGAGTTAGGTTCCTGCCATCCGTGTGGAAGTTCTAGAACTGAGTTCCCACGTGCTTGGAAAGTAAACCAGCTGATGAGTGTGCTCTCGCTCTCACTCACTCTCTCTTTCTCCCCATCCCTCCTTCTCTCCCTCTTTTTCCCTCCCTTCCTCCTTTTGTCCCCTCTATCAAAATGGTTAAATTCTTATGTTTATATTTTTGTTTAAATGCAAAAATATAAACATGAGACTACAGAGTCAGGTTGAGAAAAGGTTGAAAGAGTCGTTCCTAAATGAATACAACCTCTTCGTGCTGAAGATTAGACATCAAATCAGATGCATGACCAAACAGGGACACAGAGTCACATAACCAGGTCTAAAACTGAACACATGGGACCAGAACTGTGGCATAGCATATTAAGGAGCCATTTGGGTGTTGGCACCTTATATGAGTGCAGGTTCGAATCCCAGCTGCTCTGTATCAAATCCAGCTCCCTGCTAATCTGCCTGAGAAAGCAGCAGAGGAGGGCCTAAGGCCTTGGGCCCTTCACCACATGGAGGATCTGGAGGAAGCTTCTGGCTCCTTTTGGGGCAAATTCGGAAGTGAACCAATGGATGAAAGATCTCTTTATCTCTCTCCCTGTCTCTTTCTGTGTGTTGATCCTTTTCTGTAACTTTGCCTTTCAAGTAAATATAAATTTGCAAAAATAAAAAGTGAGTATATAATAAACTCAAAATGCTTGTTTTTCAATTCAAAAAGAAATGTAGTGAAGAGGAATAACATGTTCTTGTTATGTGGTAATTTTCATTTCAGAGTACATAATTTTTTTTTAAGATTTATTTATTACAAAGTCAGATATACAGAGAGGAAGAGAGACAGAGAGGAAGATCTTCCGTCCGATGATTCATTCCCCAAGTGAGCGCAACGGTAGATACTATGCCAATCCGAAGCTGGGAACCAGGAACCTCTTCCAGGTCTCCCACGCGGGTGCAGGGTCCCAAGGGCTTGGGCAATCCTCGACTGCTTTCCCAGGCCACAAGCAGGGAACTGGATGGGAAGTGCAGCTGCTGAGATTAGAACCAGTGCCACGCCGCCGGGCCCAGAGTACATGATTTATGATGATGTAAAACCAAACAATTCCATCTGGTACATTTTCTACATTATGCTATGTACTATAAGCAAAAGAGCAATACAATTCTAAAATGAAGAGGTATATGGTCCTTACTTAGTCTGGTCAACCAAGGCAGAGTCAAGTGTGCCTGAAAGGCATTTCCAACTTTCTGAGGTCAAAGTTGAGGAAGTTGATTACTGTACTGTGTCATGCTTTGAAGCCTGTGTAGATTTTTTTGTTAGAGACACCCAGACCAGTCATGCCATTCCAGTGACTGATAGCTCCCAGAATTGTTGGATGATGCTAATTTTCATGAACCTTTGAATGTTTGTGGATAGATGCTGATTTGTTGCCATCCTGCCAATCTCACTGAAGCTTCTGTCCAACAGGCGCCCAGAGATCACCATTGTGGCTGCTGAGCCACTGAGGCCGACCTCGTGGTTCCCTGGAGCGCCACACTCAGGATTGGGATTTCCTGCATCTTCTGCAGCAGGCCCTTGGAGGCCAAATGAGCTGGTTCCTTCCGAGGTAGATACGTGTCACATTCCCACTTTGCATTGCATTTTTCAAGTGAAATTAAAAGATGAGAACAATGAGACTGAGGTAAATGTCTAAAATCTCCATTCTTTTATTTTGCAGCTTCCTCCATCTTACGAACAAGTCATAAAAGAAATCAACCAAGTTCAAGTTAATACCACAAATAATAATAATGCTGCTGCCACTCCAAGGCACACTATTACTTCTGCAACTCAGACTGACTTCTCAGAAGAAATAGACAACAACAATCTGCCTCAAAGTAATTCAAGTAATTTGTCCTCCTTAACTCTGCCCTGGTTCTGGGGAGGTAACCAGTAGGTTCCCAGCCTTTACGATAATTTGTAGTTTGGATGTAATTGATTGAACACTGCCTCCCAGTGAGACTCACCTCTGTATGCAGTGATTATTACCATAGATCATTCTTATGAGCCGCAGCCCCAAAGCATCATCCTTTCAGTTCATGGTGGGTGTTAGTGCTGATGCCCTCCATTCCCACTGAGAGAGATGTTAAATTTAGCAACTTAGGCTTGACAGGATGCCATGGGTGATCCTCCTGTTGGGCTTATGAAACTACTTGATGAGTGGAGGTTAAAGTTGCTTTGGAAAAGCAAAGCATTTGAAACATTAGAATTTTAATAACCAGAAGCAGTTAATGTGATAAGGATAATGAGAATCAGTCATTTAATAGTTACTTCAAATACTGTATAGTGACTGTTAAATGAATAACTATAAATAACTTGAACACTCATGTAAGAAGCTGAGTGTAAATATTTCCCCTTTTGCATTTGGAATCACTTGTAATAATTAGGGAAATTTACCTTTTGGTGTTTTCTGTCAATATTTTAACATGTATGTTTCTTAAAATAATATATATATTTTCAAAATTATAACATTGCAACTTCCCTCTGTTCATTTTTGTCTTGTCAGCACTACAGGCACCTCTCAAGCCTCTTCAGCCTTCCCCAGCAGTCTCATCCAGCGACCTTCCTGCAAGTGTGGCACCTTTAATAGTCTTTGATATTTCTGAAGAACAGAATTGTCCAGAAAACTCCAGTGCTCCAAGATGTCCGGTGCCAAAACCAAGATCAAAAAGCAACCTCAGACCAGTAGCTAGAGATACTCACATTAAAGAACCAAGCCACCAGAGAATCAGTCCAACCACCGAAAGCTCATCTCCAGGCCAGCCCCAGTCCCTGCTGGACAGTACCAACAGCTTAGACAGTCAGGCAGTGATGAACATTATGAACACGGAACAAACCCAAACTAGCATCATTTCAAAGATCAAAGCATTTGAGGATCAGAAGAGTTTAGAAGCCTTGGGACTTCCCAAGAAACCAGAAGTTGTTCCCCGCACACTGCCCCTGAAGCCTGCCGTTTGTCCAGGGAAACCCTCTGTGGCTCCCAAACCAGCTGCTAAAAGAGCTTCTGGAGAATGGGACTCTTGGGCTGAAAACAGACTCTGGATGACATCCGGGGAAGGGCTCACCCCACACCCTCCACCACAGGAAGCAGGAAACATCCCAGGATCCAAACCTGAATTGCCAAAGAAACCAAATCCTGGCCACAGAAGAAGTGTTCATCATGAGACTCCAGGAGGAGGGCCCGTTGCTGAGGGCCCGGTCGGTGGGAAGAAAGTCCCCACCCCCGCTCCACGACCTCTGCTGCCGAAGAAACCAGTTTCTTCAGAAAACCCCATCCACCCTTCAGCTCCCCTGAAACCGGTCACTGTTCCTCCCCGACTCTCAGTGGCCTCACAAGCCAAAGCATTCAGGTCACTGGGAGAAGGATCCTCAGCCAGCCCTGCAGTGCCAGGTCTGCAAAGCAAGCCCTCAGGGGACATCGACCTCATCAGCTTTGATGATGATGTTTTACCCACCCCACCTGGGAACCTGGCTGAAGAGTCTGTGTGTTCAGAGATGGCTCTAGGTGAGTGAAAATCAAAGGGGACCATGGGGAGGGACCTAAACTCATTATAGGTGTCTTAAATGGCATGAGGCTGTTTTAGTTCCCTCTCTGTATGGTGCGAGATGTATTATGCGTGGATGTGTTCGTGAACACAGACGGGGAGCAGGGATGAACACAGTGTTGACAGAAATAATCGGAGTTTGGTTGAAAAATCAAAGTTCAGGTTTATTGAGCTGGTCAAACCAGGTAATTGCTTGCATTGGCTGCTTCGCAAGTCTAATTTTATTTTTCTAAGCCTAATTTTAGTTACAGATTTTATAATCTTACAGACTCAGTATACATTAAATTAAGCCTAAACATTACAGAGTTATGTATGGTTATCAATCATATTGAAAGTCAAACAATAATTCATCAAAAATTGAGTATCCAATAATACCTAACAGACGTGATCATTGGTGAGGGAGATAAGTTAGTTTCCTACACTCACACCCACATAGGATATCAATCTGTGCTCCTAGAGGCACATATTACTCACCCTTCTACAAAGGACCTAGGTCATAAAGTAAACTGCTTTAAGGTTTAGTAGGGATTTACTTGCCCATAACATAGTTAAGGTTTCCTTGGTCACAGAGTTTGTGGAAAGATCCTGTTAGCTGGGAACTAGCTACAAGGCATCTTTAAAAAAATTTTTTTAAGATATTTTTAAATTTTACTTCTTTTTTAATTGTTGTCATCTTATGATACAGTTCCTTAGGCCCTGAGATTTCTCTAACTCCCTCCCCAAGTTCCCTCCCTCCCCCAGTGAATTCCCCTATATTTTTATTGTAGTTCTTCATAAACAGTTGTATGTCCATCATTGTGGTCATGGACAATGGCAGGGAGTCCAGCATCCTATTATCAAGATATAGTAAACAGTTTCATTGGGAGTCCACCTTTGATCTGGAAGTGGAGATGCACACTGCATTGTATCCACACATCTGGATTTGATGGTCTCCATTACACAGTTACCATACATCCTCTTAAATGAAAAGCCACAAAACAAAATCAAGAATCTTGAAGGAAAGAAGAAATTAAAAACAACATGAAGTTAAATAACATGCTACTGAATGACTAATGTGTCATTGAAGAATTGAAAAAGAAAATCAAGAATTTTGAGGAAAATGATGCTGCTGTATGATCTATGAATCAGTGAAAAAATTTAATGAGAAAGTGTTTTGAAGAGTTGAAATTTAAAAAAAAATCAAAATCCATGAGATAATTTTTACAAAAAAATCAAAATCCATGAGATAGTTTCCACTGATCTTTGTTGGTGAGATATATCTCCTATTGGCAACAAATAGATGGGTTTTGTTTTTGTAATCCAATCTACTAATCTGCCGTTTCATTGATGAGTTTAAGCCATTTACATTCAGGGTTAGTACAAATAGGTGGTATTTTAGTCCTGTCATTTTAGCCATGGGTTGTTCATTCATTTAGTCTTCTGTTGTTATTTCACTGGGATGTTCTACATATTTGCCTTTGGTTTTGTTGGGCACTATTCCTCTTTGTCGAAAACATCTTTAAGTATCATTTGTAGAGCAGGTTTGGAGGAGGCATATTCTAAGTTTTCTTTACTATGGAAGAATTTTATTTCATTTTTAATGACAAAGGAAAACTTTGCTAGGTACATTATCATGGGCCAACAGTTTTTTCTTTTGGAATCTGAAATATGTCCCTCCATTCTCCTGGCCGGTAGAGTTTCCTGTAAGAGGTCTCCTGTGAGTTTAATTGGCATTCTTTTATATGTCAGTTGGTTTTTTCACTTGCACATTTAAGGATCTGTTCCTTATGTTCGATTGAAGAGAGCTAGATTATCATGTGTCGTGGTGAAGATGGCTCTTTGTCAACCCTGTTGGGAGCTCTGTGCCCCTCCTGATTGTTGCTTCCCAATTCTTTCTCCAGATTAGGGAAATTTGTCTTATTTCATTAAATCCATTTTTAAACCCAGCTTCTCTTTCTGCACCTTTTGGGACTCCCATAAGTCTTATATTTTGCATATTAATAGAGTCTTTCAATTCTTGAATACTTTTTTTAGACCCAGCTCTGCTTCCAGTTTTTTATTTCCTTCCCCTTGGTGACAGGAAATATCTTTGAATTTTGAGATTCTTTGTTCTGCTTGTTTCATTCTATTTTGGAGACTCTCCACTGTACTTTAATTTGCTCCACTATATTCTTAATTTCTGATATATCAGCTTTCTTTGATTCATTTCCAGTGTGACATATATTCCTTAAATCCTTGAACACCTTGAACACTGCTTTATGTGCTTCTCATTGTTGATAAGAAGTTTTATAACAAGTGTCTTGAATTCTTTATCCCCCATTTTCTCATTGTTTTCCTCAATGAACTCTGAAGTTGGCAAAGGGTTTTGCTCCTTTGCAGGGGATTCTTCAGTAATACTCATTTTGCCTTTGTCTCTTCTTTTGCTCTTGGTCATTGTACTTCTGGTTATCAGAATCTTCTCCTTGGGGCAGGTTTCTAAGCTGTGAATTGTATACACCCACATGTCTGCAGTTCAATTTTACTTATTGCAGTTGGTACATAACTCTTTGTTTTCAGTCCCTTGTGCCACTTCCTCCAGTGAGTTACAGGTCTGTGTTCCTATGTTAAACTTCCACCATGGTCTCTGTAGCCCCAACTCCTAGCTCACCAGTCTCCCCCTCCTTTGATCCCGTGCTGAGGCTGTGCTGTTGTACTACCTTCCTCCCAATTCCGATTCAAGCAGTTCCCAGAATTAGGGAGACACCAGGTGTCCTACACAGCTAGAGTGTTGGTGGTGCTGATCTTGCCTGAACCTGTTGGCCGTTAGGTCTGAGGGCCATACGGATCTATTTTGAGTCGTAAGGTGTCAAAGTTGGTATTATTTTCCCTGTGCGACCAGTGAGTTTGCTCCTAGCTTAGCGCATGTGCAGGTCACTGCTGTCCCTGCAGTGTTAAAGCCTTTTACACACAATACAAAATGCCACCTGATGTGCCACTATTAGATTTCTTAATCTACTGGCTGTCAGTTCTGAGGGCTACCCAGACCTATCTTGGGTGGTGATGGAGTTCCAGCTGCTGGGGTGTCAGTCACTGCAGCACCACACCATTGTGTCCACTGTTCTGCTGTGTCTGTCAGTCTCCAGGTACCCCTCTACTGTTGTTCTGTCCTCTCCTATTTTCTGGAATGTGTCCTCTCTGCTTCACACTAGTTAATGTTCCTCCGTCTGTTTAAACATGCCTCACCCTATGCCGCCTTCTTTATTCTCTCCAGATTTATCTTTTTATTGAAAAATCATATTTACAGAGAGAAGGAGAGACAGAGAGAAAGATCTTCCATCTGCTGGTTCACTCCCTAAGTGAGCACAACTACCAGGAACCAGGAGCTTCTTCTGGGTCTCCCACTCAGGTGCAGTGTCCCAAGGCCTTGGGCTGTCATTGACTGCTTTCCCAAGCCACAAGCAGGGAGTTGAAAGAGAAGTGGGCAGCCAGGATATGAACCAACACCCATATGGGATCTTGGTATTTGCAAGGCAAGGATTTCAGGCACTAGGCTACCGCACTGCCCCCCTCTTTTTTATTTTTGATGTTTACATAGCCAAGAAGGATGTATGCCCATGTGAACCTCCAACCAGAATGGGAGGAGTTGAGGAATAGGGGAAAGTAGGTGAGACCATTGTTTCCAATTTTCTTTTCCTTCTCCCTGTAACTCAGGGAAGGGGGCAGAGAAGGGAAGAAGACACTCAGCATCCCAACCACATCAGTACCTAGGGATGTGGGGCAACTAACCCACGTCAGTCCAGGGTCCCTGAGGTGGAGCATGCTCAGAGTGTACTGCTCAAGTGATCTCAATAGTTCTAAAATGCTGTTGATTTCATTGCTTCAGAGGTGAAGAAATCATTGCAAGGTCCATTGACTGACAGTCCACCTTAGAGACTCTATTTCACTCAGATATACCTGGCTGGGGTAGTTGCCCAATTGGTTCTGCCCTCCATCCTCTGCTGTGGTACTAAATGTCCTGTGCAGGCCCCAGTGGACTGCCATATCCTCTCTGCCCCAAGTGTATCTGGGCATACCATCCACATTTTCAGCAACTGAGCAGGCTCAATTCTGACACATTACACCATGGTCAGACAACAGATCCTGTGATCTTCCCTGTGGTTAGAGTTCTGAGTCCAGCAGTCCAGTTGAGGGTGGCTCCCCAAAGAAACCTCACCAGAGGTGACCCCAGACCTGACTCCTGTGTGTGCCAATCAGTACATGATCTGGCTCATTCTGTCACCCACATTAGGCTATACAGACACTGGTGACTGCAGTTGAGTCAGTTCTGCCTCCAGCCCCATCTCTTACACAAACCAATGTATAGTGCAGCCAAGCCCAATCCTGCCCACCATGTATACCAGTGGGAGCTGCAGCCTAGTCAGAGCGACCCCAAAAAAAAACCCCTCCTAGGCCCACCCCCAGCCCTGGTGCCTGCACATACTGTTATGTGCAGCAGACTGATCCTGTCTCAAGCATCTCATTTGGCTTTTGTACACATCCCATTCAGCTTTTGTCCAGCTTTTGTACACACAATGGGAGCTGTAGCCTAGTTCGGCCCCAACCAATTCACTAAGCCCACACTTAGCTGGCAGGTGTCACTGCCTGTCTAGCCAGGCCCACCCCCAGCCCAGGTTCTCATGCACTGGTGGGAGCTGCAGCCCATCAGAGGAGTGCCCACAGTTTCTCTACTAAGCCTTCTTTCAGCCCTGGATCTTGCATTTTCTAGGTGTTTCTGCAGTCTAGCTTAACAGGGCTTGTCCCCATCCTGGCACTTGCCAGCTGATGCTTCAGCAAAGCCAACCAGCTTGCACTTACTCTGCCTTATGCCTATACCAGTGATACAATGGGTTAGCCCAGCCTGGCTCTCCCCATAACCCAGCTCACATGCAAGCCAGTGGGTATTAGAGCCCTGCCTAGCCTGGTATGCCCCCAGTCCCAGTTATCAAACTCACCAACAGGAGCA